CATGGGGCTGCCGACGTTCAAGCGTGCGCTTGGAGTGGCGATCATTCTGTGGCGCTGCCACAGGATCGGAAGCAGGGAAGCCATTAATGGTAAGAATCAGGTGCGCCGGGGAGCGCGCAAATCGAAAGTATCAGACCTTTTACACTACGAGCGAGTGAACACGGTGCGGCTCAACATGAGCCTACACACAGTGTGTGATTTTTTAGAGGATCACGCTTTCCCAATAATGTCACCGCTGGAGGAGTCTATGAGCAAGGCTGCGACGATGACGGCCTCGGGGCAAAACGCGACTCGAAGAACCGGTCGGCCCTTCTTCATCGTGACCGTCCGAGAATTGGCGTGAATATTTCCGCGGCTGGAGGGCGTGATCTAGAAAGGCGCTGGCCATCCATCCGTACCTGCTGGGATCCATTTTGAGAGAAAAGAGCGCCTAGCGGTGTTGAATCAAGAACGCCAGCAATTCAGAACATCATTGACCTGACATTCGCAGTGCCGCTGCAGATATTGAGTTTCATAGGCCAACGCTTGGGGGACCTCCGGCTCGGCATCGTGGCGTGACGGGTCGTGAGACAGGAAGGGGGTACCTTCTTTGGAGGAGGATGAGGGAGACGGTGTTGGACCAGGAGGAGACAGAGATGAGCCACGGAGTGTAAAGGGTAACGACCAGGAGGGCGCGGAGGGGGAGGAGTCAGGTCAGAGCGGGATGGTGGCTGGCGCGTCAGTCCCAAACGAGGGTCGCTGGTTCAAAGATGGGGGTCTGATGGGTCCTAAGGATAGGAGAGGGTCCAAGGGTGGATTTACATTGTTTGAGGCACCTCGTCCTTAGGACCCCATCCCTCAAGACCGAATATTCGAAATACCGCAGCAAGGATCCGCAGCACGGCTGGCCCAACCTGAGCCCAGCGCGGCGCCGAGCGCAGCCGAGCGTAGCGCGGCCCGCGCACCCGCAGGCCAAAGAGCCAGTGCGGCGCCGGCGCCTGGAACCGCGGGTGCGCGAGGAGGAGGAGGAGGAGGAGGAGGAGGAGGAGGAGGAGGAGGAGGATAGGGGAACGAATAATGGCATAAACATAAAAACTCGGAGGTCCGCGAGGAGTTCTCGGATTGGCGCGCGCCAGGGGCGGCGCAGGAGGCGCCGCCAAGGGGGTCCAGCGCGGATCCGAAAAATCCGCGCGGACCTCCGAGTTTTTATGTTCATGTCATTCTTCACGTTTCAAGAGACCCAAGAGGGCCCCAAGACAGCCCAGGAAGCTCGGAGAAGGCCCAGAAGGGCCCCAAAGAGCCCCAAGAATGACCCAAGAGAGGCAATCCGAGCCGACATTTCGAGCGCCCCTCCCCAACGTGACTCCCGAGGCTGCCAACAGGCACAGCAGGCCCAGGGGCAACGTCAGTGGGGGGTAAAGTTAAGTCGGGCCTGTCCCTCTACAGGAGGAATATTCAAACATATTCAAACAATTGTCTGGGGACGATGTTTGATTATTTGTTGATGAGATTGGGGCAATGTTTGGTTTATTTTTAATTGTTCGTTCAAGATCCGCCTGTAGGGGGACACGTCCGACCGAAGGATAGAATTGACAAAGCCCACGTCGTGAAACAACAATCGCGATGGGATGCTTGTGGCAGTGTTCGTGGTTAGGGGCTTCTACTGGGCCTCGAGAACGTCAACATATCGACTCGGGATGAAAAACGATCCCTGGAAAGGGGTCCAGACCTCCGGGAGTTCGAGGCTTGAGGTTTTCGCGCGTGTTTTTGTGTGTCTTCGGCGGCTGTCCAGCCTCGGAATGCATTCCAGCAGCTGCGCCCCGCCGAGAGCGTTCCGGGGAGTACCTGGGTCGTCCCGAAAGCCAGACGAGGAGGATAAATGTGGGGATAGGCCAAGGGGAGGATGCATCGACCCTCAATCGCTCAATGATCACCGATAGAGGCCAGATGGCCAAGCAAGTCATGTGCTTTCTTAGACATGCTGGCGCCTCCGGTGCCCGAAGGCGCTGCGAAAGCCAGCTACGTGAGCCTACTCGCTAACCCCCCTTTTGCAGGCGCGTGGCGTCGTGTGTCTTCCCATGTCGTGAGCCCCAGGAGGTCTGGATTTCTTCCCGGAGACCAGTTGTTCATACTGAGTCTCTTTTGACAGCCCCGAGGCCCCTCAAGGGCTCCAGATGCCAAACATAGCGAAATGCTCCCGCCGTGCTATCTCGCACGACGCAACCGGGTCTGGGCTTTCGTCTGGCCTGAAAGGCAAGCCAATCCGACTTCCAGATTCCTTCGAAGGAGGAGCTCCATCATAATACATGTTCGGAGGGGAGGAGGGCCACCGCATGTTGCATAAGATCATCCATGAAAGGTTGGCTTGAGTCGGGCCTGTCCCTCTACAGGAGGAATACTCCACAATAGTCAAAAACTAGTCTGGGGACGATTCTTATTTGTTTGGATATGTGTTGAATTTTTGTTGGACTATTTTTATGCTTCGTCCCAAATCGCCCTGCAGGAGGACATGCCCGACCTAAAGCTGGCAGTCGGGTCTCATGCGACCGCTCGGGACGACCCGGCCCCCCCCCCTTGGAGCAGTCTCGGCGAGAGGCGCCGCGATGGCCGCCGAGACCCGCCCGAGAGAACGCCCGAGGACTTCAAAAACCTCGACGCCCTCCTCCCCCTCCTCCTCCTCCTCCTCCTTCTCCTCCTCCTCCTCCTCCTCCTCCTTCTCCTCCTCCCCCTCCTCCTCCTCCTCCTCCCTTCTCTCCTCCCCCTCTCCTCCTCCTCCTCCTCCTCCCCTCCTCCTCCTCCTCCTCCCCTCCTCCTCCTCCTCCTCTCCTCCTCCCCCTGCTCCTCCCCTCCTCCTCCCCCTCGTCCTCCTCCTCCTCCTCCTCCTCCTCCTCCTCCTCCTCCTCCTTCTCCCCCCCGGACCCCCTCGGGCAATGACAAAATCATGACCAGAGGTTTTTCCTAATTTTCGGCCGGGGCCCTTACCGGCCCTCGAGGCCGTCAAAAGACGATGCAGGATGCAAAACCGGTCTTGGGGAATGGGTCGATACCTCCAGGGGTCGACGCAATGAAAGAATCATGACGTCGGGGGTCTGGGCCGCCAGGTGCACGCAGACCGCCGGCTCGACGAGGAGGCCTTCCAGGAGCGGCCACCAGAGCCCCTCGGCGTGGGGAGCCCAGGATAGGGTTGACCCGAAAGGATAAGTCGGGCGTGTGCTTCTACACAAGGCAGATTCAAAAAAAACGTCAAAGAATAGTCAGGGGACGATGTTTCAATTATTTTTACATTTTTTTGAATGTTTGACATTATTGTTGATCTTTCGTTCCAAATCCGCCTGTTGGGGGACATGCCCGACCAAACCAAAAGGGTGTCCAGCGACAAGGGGGTGGTGCAATAGATCTGGTGCAATAAATGTGCGGGGCTGCGATCAATTTGGGGCGTGCAGTGCATTCCGGGGCGCAAATGCATTGCTGTATTTTCGCGTGCAGCGCACCACTTGCAATACAATGCAGTACAGTTCTCTGGCGCTAACATCTGCAATACAATGGCCCCAAATCTATTGCACCACTCCCTCTCAGCTGGACGCCCTTTTGGGTCACCCAAATAGGAGCACGTCGCCGTGCCCGCGGCGCAGCTGGAGGAGCTCCTCCAGGCCACGCGGCGCGGGTGGGGTCTCGGGCCGCCCCCCGGCGGCCCTCCTCCAGTGGAAGGAGGAGCCAGATCGGTACGATCGACGTGGGCACGGACGGACAGAAAGGGTACGAAGGATACTGTGTTTGATCTTCTGGCGATAACGGGCGTGACTGGGAGAGGGGAAGACGAGGAGGGGGCCGGTCACATCACGATTCGCGCCGACGCCGTCTGGGAATGCTCGGACATGCTTTAATTCCCACACGGCGCCTGCGCGAATCGCGGGGTGACCACGGAGGAGGGGGGAGGGGTCAGGGCCAGTCACGGGCGCTATCGTGAGTAAATACAAAATGAGTTTCAGACCGACAGCATTCTTTGTCCAATTAGAATAGGACTCGTTTTCGGTGTCGCCGCAGACCTTGTCCATTTGAGACTGGAGGCCGCCTGCCCAACAGCGGCTGGCGGTCGGTTTTGGACCTGTCCGCACCCAGTGAGGGCGCCCAAACCAAACCTCTAGCGTATTCCTGAGAGCTTCGCAATGTTCTCGAGCTGTGCGTGTTTGCTTTGCTTCGATCCAGAGTTCAAGATTCCGCAGCGAGATGGGGTCTGGGGCTCTGGTGGTGTTTTTCACAATGTTGCCTTTGTTAGCGCAGACCTCCAGCGCATTCAAAAGTTCAGGTTAAATCGGGCACGTCCTTCTACAGGACGAATTTTAAAAGATAATCAAAGCAATAGTGTGGGGACGCTTGTCTGACCATGTTGCAATATTCTCATAGTTTTGTGTATTTGTTTTTCGTCCACAACCCGCCTGGATGGGGGACACGCTCGACCTACAGTGAAGGCGGCGGTGTTTGTTCTTGGATCGCCGCCGGGCACCAGGGCCATCGAAAAACAATACGGGGCGAAAGACCGGCCCCCAGGATATGGTCCAGAGCATCGGAGGTTTGGAGGTAGGAAAGGGGTAGTGTGTCAAGGGGTGTGGTGCTTATTGTATGTAAAGGGGGGTCTGGCGATGTTATCTGTCGCAGATCGCATCGCCATTTCCACGATTATACCATACCCCTTTATGCCACACCCGTTTCCGACCTCCGAAGAGGTTTGGGAAGCGAGGGTGAGCAGGAGAAAGAGCTGGAGGACAAGGAGACGAACAACAGGAGCACAACGAGTTGCCACAGAAGGGTTAGCACTTCCTTGGAGCTCAGGAAGTCCCTTCGCACGAAATCAAGAACCAGAGCGAGCCTGACATGAAACAGAGAGGTTCGAACCTGTTCGTTTGTAGTTTTTTATGACTGAAGGGGCCCCTCTTTGCAAACGATGCAAAACACTAGCGGGCGCACACGTGCGTGTCACAACCGACTGCCACAACGCATACTGCAATGGAACAGACCTTTGCGACTGCCACTCCCGCCTCCGCCGCCCTTATCCTCCTCCATTCTCCCTTCTCGCCTTTCCTATTCGCCCTCCCTGCCAGTGGTCCCAGCCCCCTTCCTTTTCCCAGCCCCTCTTCCCCATTCCTCGTCCCCTCTACCGCCCCCCCCCCCGCCCGCCCTCCTCCGCCCTTCATCCTCACTCCTCGCTCCCCCCACTTGCTTTCGCCTGAGCTCCCCCTCTCTCCCCCTCCCCCTCTGCTGCCCCATCACCCCCCCCCATTCTCCCCCCTCCTCCCCCCCTCCTCCCTTTTCCCACCCTCCCCTTCTCCTTTCCCAACCCCCCCACCCCTCCCCCCTCCCCCGCTCTCCCACGGCATCCCTCCCCCCTCCCACGCCCCCTCCTGCTGCTGCTCCTTCTGGTCATCTCCCTCCCCTTCTCCTCCTCTTCCTCCTCTTCCTCCTCCGCGTCCTCCTCCTCCTTCTCCTCCTCCTCTTCGTCCTCATCTTCCTCATCCCCCTCCCCACCCCATCACCATTGTTATCCTCATCTTCATGTTGCCTCGCCCCCCCTCTCCCCACTCCCCTCATCGTCGTCATCCTGCTGCCTCACCATCCTGCTGCATCTGCCTCCGCTCCCCTTGGGATGGAGGATCACACGTTTTTGCGATTAAGCGTTGTCATCAAAAGAAGCGTGTTGGCCTGAAGGACGTGCGGTGGTGGAGTATCACACGTCTTTTACGGCGTATTGGTTGCCATGGACAGACTGTGATGGTTCTCCTCCGCTGCTGGTGCGCGAGAGAGCCCGCCCCCGCCAGCGCGTCCAGCGAATCGGGGCGCTCATCGGCAGGCAGGCGCCCGGCGGCGGCCGTCGGCAAGGCGGGCGTCGTTAGCCCAGGAGGAGGAGGGAGGGTTGGTCCTTGGAGCCGGTTGGGGGTCCGAGGTGGCCCAGCATTGGTTCCGGGCAGCAGGAAGGGGGGGGGCGAAGCTCGAGGCTCTAGGTTCGAGAAGGTTTCCCAAATAGTGCAAGAATTTAGGAGCTCTTACTTCTGCTCCAAGGAGCTGGACCGTGTCTTCGGTCTACCGGCTATGTGGCCGCCGTCGCCACCCTGTCGCAGCCCGTCGTCTGGACCGTGTCTTCGGTATGGTGGCTATGTGACCGCCGTCGCCGCCCCGTCGCCGCCTCGTCGCCGACCTGGATTGCACATCATCGATTGCACAGCATTGATTGCACCACCAACATTGCACCGCAAAGATTGTACCTCATACTTTTTACCGCATAGCTTACAAACCATAGTTGGAATCGTATAGATTTAACGAATGGGTTGCACAACGTAGATTGCACACTTCACACAGTGCACAACATATTACATATGAGTCTGCCCCATCGCCCATCCTACATATGAACCGGTACCCGCCAAGCCAGGTCAGGTTCGAACGGCTCGACCCCCCCCTTGCCATCCTTTGCAAAGCATCTTATGCGCGCACATTCGTTTATTCAAATTCATCAGTTTCCAAGATTCCCTTGCACAAGTTAGAACGAAATTCACACACACGCGCGCGTCGTCGCGCGCGCATGCCGAAATCCTTCACACACCTTCGGTTTCGTACGGCTTGTGTCCTGAAACATGTATAACCATGCATACACACATATATATATATATATAAACATACATATACAGATATTTGTGATCAGTGTTCGAAAAGAGGTCTGCGCGTGCGCCCTTGCGAATCCTAGCGAAAGCAATCGGTTCAACGTTTTCATCAAATTATACTAAACGGGCTTCTCACGCGCGCATGCCGAAGTCATTCTAACGCTCTTGCGCGCGTGCTGGGGGCGGGCACGTCCCCTTCAAATAATACCATGCAGGCCACTCGCGCGCGACGGCCGCGCGCGCATGTCAACATCCGTGCAAAACCCTACCCTGCACCACATAGCTAGCACAACATCGGATTGCCATATTGGATTGTACAACGTCGACCTTTGCTTGGCTTGCACAACATCGCTTGCTAGAAACCTACTGGGGTACACGCAGGCTGGCATTGTTTTCTCGTTTCCGGGCTCTGTGGGCCAGTGTCGGCCCCAGGACCGACAGAAGCGAATTTGGGGTGAGAAGAAGGGAGGGGGTCCCGGGACCGATCTTTTGCGGATTTGCTTGCGCCCCCCCCTCCTCATAGTTTTTTCGAGGCCAACAAGCTCAGACTCCCAGCCGACTCCAAGAAGGATTGGACCTCTGCCTCCTATTCCCTATTCCCGTCGTTTTACATTGGAGCCCTTCCGATGGGCCCGCGCCACCCGCTTCCGATAGGACCGCGCCACCAAGGGCGGACGCGGGTGGTCGTGGCGCGCTCCTGCGCGCGAGCCTAGGCTGCGGGCGGAGGAAAGGAGGGGGCCAACCGAAGAGTTTGAGAGACTTTGGAAGAAGGAGGAGAATGTCAGTCAGAGGTGGAAGCGGTACCGATACCGGTACCTCTGCCTTGATTTTGCCTTCTGGGCCTATCCTGGGAGGCCCTCGTCGCCACGGTTGGATTCGCCGCGGTCATCTGATCAGAACGCACCCCGGGAGAGGTCTAGGGAGAAGCGTTGTCGGTCATACATGCTTGGAGGTTCGCGCGGATTTCTTGGATCAGCGCTGGGCGCCAGCTGTGCGGCGACTCCGGCGTCCCTCTACTCCTCCCTCTCCTCCCGCGGTGAGAAAGAACAGTTCCGCGCAAACATTTATTTCCGGACGTTCGTGCGGACTTCTTGGATCCGCGTTGGGCGCCGTCTGTGCGGCGCTGGAGCGTTCCAGGGAGGGGGCCCAGGGCCGATCCAAGGAAGACGAGCGGACCTCAGGAAGTGTATGGTTGTACGCAGCTGTCTTGTTCGAGGGGAGGAGAAACAGAGGGCATTGTCTGCTGAACCCCGGGCTCGAACAAGAGCTGACGGCAGCGGCCAGGCTCAAGCTGGCATGCGACCGAAGATCGCCTGGGGAATAGGCTCAAGAGAGCGCCTAGCCCCGGGAGGGGGACGGGGAGTTGGAGTGGAGTGGAGAGGGGGGAGGAGGACGAGAAGCAGCGGGATACGATTTGAGCGGGTAAAGTGGACGATCTGGAGTCCAGCATCAACCTAATCTACACCATCGATATTGCTGTATCCCCCCCGTCCCGTCCCATGCCTCCTGCACAAGTCCCTACGAGCACCTCTCTTCACTGAGGGAACGGCTCCCTTGAACGATGAGCGCTCAATGGGCCTGATGATGTCGCCCCCGTGCGTCCTGATCTCGCGGCCAGGTAGTTGGCCGTAACGGGCAGGCCACCTTTTGTGAGAGGCCGAGAATGCAGCCATGTATGTCGTCTAGCTTTCACATGGCAGTCGACGACAGCCGCACGATGTCCATCCTTCAGTGTCTTCTGCGTGCGGCTTTTTCTGGTGCCCTTCTCGACCACGTTCGCGAATATATGTTGAGCGGTTGCTGGTGACTTCCCTCAGGCCCCTGCAAAAGCTGAAAACTGTTTGACTGCAGTAGCTGCACCGATTGCAGCCCGCACGACGACTCAACATGCTGATTGCACTGCCGCCACAAGCCAAGCCCTTCTCTCTGAGCACGGTCAGCTGCGTGCGATTGGGGAGTTTGCTGAGGTCTCGATTTTCGCGAGGTCTCTCAGAGGGTACGGCCGCATAGTTTCGATCCAGCATGTGATTGGGCAAGAGGTCCCGCTTGACGGGCGCCCCCCCCCATCCAACGCCAGACTTTCGAGCCGCTTCCACTCGCGGCGGTCCCAATCTAACCATACCTTTCCTCCTCCTTTTCCATCTGCCTCCCCCTCGTCCTCCTCGTCCCCCTGAGCCGCCTAGGTAGCGGCCGATGCCCCTTGGAACCTGACTGCGCGTAGTCGGGCTAAGCCCCCGAACCCCGGTAAGCATTAATTTGGACGTGGGTCAGTTCAACCTGGGCCTCCGAGGAGAGTTTTGGAACATGTTGTGTCTCTGGACGTGTGCGTGCCGCGGTCGATTCAGATCACGCCTGCGGCGCTGCAGACGGCTAGCGTATATAGGCGGAGTGCGCTCGGGCATCTTTGACGCGCTTTTCTGCCTCGTTCCTCTTCCCTTCCTGTGTGACTCTGACGATGATGGAACGATCTCCGCCTAGAAACGCTCGTGCTGAAAAGGTGGAAAGCACATCGGTGAGAACAACATGCATGTACGAGCAGCGTGCGCCCAAACGGAACTGGAAGGAGGAAGGGCAACGAGAGGCGGAACGTGGAGAAGCCCGCAGGGGCGTTCCTCGCTCCTCCCTCCCCGAGGGGCGCCCCCGCCCCGATCCCTCCTCGCCCCGTGCCCTCCCCGCCAGGCGCGTCGCAGGGCGGGGCGCCCGCCGCGGCGCCCGCCGCGGCGCCGACGGCCAGCTCGGCCGCGTCGAGGGACCTGAGGAGGGCCCTGCAGCCCAGGCGCCGGGCGGAGGGGAGGAGCACCCTCGGGCGGAGGAGGCCCAGATCTCGGGCCGGACGAAAGGGGGGGCATCGGGAAAGGGGGGGTCACGAAGTTTGCTGCATGCAGCCCCCATCGAGGGGCCCATTCCTCGATACATAGCCTCCGTAGCCGCCTCCGACGCTGGGAGGCTGGGAGGCGCCGGGAAAGTCAGCTACGCGAGCTGATTTTCACCCGCCCTTTCGCCCTGCCCGAAGATCCCTGTCGGACGTTTGCTCTAGAGCTTCCGCCTCCGCGGGCTCTCGCCGAGGATTTCGAGGAAGGCCCTCGGGCCCAGGCGCCGAGCGTGGGCGGGGGACGTCACGGTGAGGGGAGGCCAGAACCGCTCGCGTCCTCGGGGCCGCCGGACCATTCTAGGCGCTTCGCGTAGCCCCACCAGCAGCCTTCCAGCAGACACTGTGCTTCCCCACTGGCGCCCTCTCCCCGCCTATTTGGCTTGTACCGCGCCGCAGCTACGGCCCTGGCCCTTGGCGCCCTGTGGCGACATGGTCAGACAGTACCTGGTCACTCCTGTCCATGGTACCTGAGCTCGAATGCGTGGTTTCCAGCTCTCTGTTCCTGGTGGCGCACCGTTTCCTGGGTTGCCCGGCAGTGGAAGCGCTCCGCTAGTTCGACGCGTGTTCGCAGGTACAGAGCCGATCATGCGTTCTTGGCGTGCAGGACTTAATTCCAACTTTGGCGTTTTTCAGCCTCCGACTTGCACGTTGCACCAGCTACCCTGGGCGTCTGCAGACCACCTTGTCAGCTCCTTCCAGCAGCAGTCCCCCGGCAGCCGCTTCTGAGTGCTGGCCCGGCCGTTTCGCGCGTGGTTCGGTAGTTAATTAGGCTGGCCCGTGCCCCGGACCCCCCTCTTGGTGACTGCTTTACGCGTCCGCCCGCTGACCAACAAGTAACCCCACCAGCCCATCCAGAAACGGTGCCCAGGCGAGTTGCCCGGATCAGGAATGTGGAGAAGCATGCAGTGGGAGAGTGGGCGGGGAAGCCGTTGTACCCCAAGAGGGGGAGGATGGAGGAGTAACCGGAGGAGAAGGGGAATGAGGGAGAGAGGGAGGGTGCGGGAGGAGGAGGGAGGAGGAGGGAGGAGGAGGAGGAGGAGGAGGAGGAGGAGGAGGAGGAAGAGGAGGAGGAGGACGAGGTGGAATTGGCGGATGAGTAAGGGGAGGAGAAGGCGGAGAAGGAGGAAAAGGATGACGAGGAGGAGGAGAAGGAGGAGGATGGGAGGAGGAGGAGGGCGAGCAGCAGGGCCACAGGCCTCTTAGATAACTCTTGGAGTCGCTTCGGGCGTTTTTTTTTTTTTTCGAGAATTGCTTGGAGTTCTTCTGTGGCGTCTAGGGGCATCCTGGCGGTCCCGGGGGCCTTTTGGGACGTCTAGGGTGCCTCGGGGGAGCCTCTTTGGGCCTCTTGGGGGTCTTCTGGGGGTCTTTTGAGGACATATTGGGGGTTTCTTGGGGCCTCCTGGGCGCCTCTTCGGGCACTCTTGGGAGCCTTGCGGGTTATCTTCGTGCCATTTTGGAGGAGCTCGGTCAAAGAAGGGGGTGCCTCGTCCAGGTAGGGGGTACGGGGGGGGAACCTTCCCCCGAAGGAGCAAGATGGAGTCGGAAGAGAAATTGCTCTAAACCAATCGCGCCCGAAAGGATTGATGGGACTGGGTTATTCCGAATGAAAGCCCGTCCCCCGGGATGGGGTCCAGATTTTTGGGGGTCCACGGCATGGAACAATCACTACTTTTGGGTTTTGGGGGTGCTGATCGTTTTCGTCGGAACTCTGCGCTTTTCCCGCCTCGGGATGCCCTCTTGCAACTGCGCCTCAAAGGAGCGCACTGGGGATTCCCGGATCGTCTTGAACGGCCGCCAGAGACCCATCCCTCTTCCTTCTCGTCGTCGTCGTCCTCCTCCTCGTCCTCGAGCTTGCAAGCGCGTGCTTCAGAGCGGCTCGCGGTTGAAGGCCACTTTTTTTGGAGAGTGACGTGAGCAGGCCAGTTGCAGCGGGCTGCTGCAGATGGGCGCCACCGGCAATCAGGGTCTTGCCAGGGGCGCGCCTACCTCACTGGAATTGCACATGTGGCTGCGATGGCAATTGGGCGTCGCGTGTGGTTTGGTCTGTCGTCAGCGTGGCAAGTCAGCACCGAACATGGTCAGTCCTGCTGCCAAGGCTGCGGCCATTGCGGCGGCGGAGCCCAAGCAAGGCAGTGCAGGGAGCGAGCCTCGTGGCAAGTGGGTGCAAAAGGCGCCTTGCTCAAGCGAGCTTCTGATCAAGACCATCAAAGCTCTGGGAGCCAAGGTTGCGAGGCTCATTGTCTCAAGCGGACCTTCCAGGTCCAAGAGCAGCTCGGGCATGGGTGGCAAGCCGCCGTCGAATGACAAAAGGGGGGCGGCAGGGCTCTAGGGCCAACGGGCAAGGACCTGTTGGGCGTCCTCGAGTTCCAGGACCTCGAGGCGTCGGCTTTCGCGACACTTGAAGAGGCGGAGAAGAAGGCTACGGTGGTCTAGGTCGAAGCCCCCAACGCGCGCACGGCGTCATGGAAAATTGCGAACGTCCGTGCCGAGCCTGGCAAGACGGAGTCGCGTGCTGCAGCGCTGAGCCTGCAGAAGATTGGGCTGGATATCGATTTCGTCGAGGTCCAGTCCAGCATGGAGGCTCTCAAGGTGGAGCTGGGGAAATCCGAGGGGCTGCTCGTCACGCTCCAAGCGGCAGAGCTCGGCGCCCCCATCCAAGCTGTTTCGGTCAGCCTCGACGTCGCCGGCGTCAAGTCGCAGGCTTGAAAGGATGCGGCCGCATCTTCCATCGGCTGCAGTCGGTGGCAGAGCAGGCCAGGCGTGCTCCACCTGCTGTTGTTGCTCCTCCAGATGCCAGAGGTTGCACGGCTGCTGGAGGGACCGACGCCGCTGTCGGCAACGGCGTCAACATCCTTGTCGGCAGTGACGACATCGACGTGGAAGCGTCGCAGGGGCACGACCTCGCGCAGCGCCAGGCCGATTTGTTCAAGGCGTTCGACAAGCTTCGGAAGACCCAGCCAGCCGAGCAGGAGGCGGCCGCCAGTCGCTTCTACGCCCAGGCTGCAGCGGCCCTGTGAGTCAAGCGAGCGCGGCATCTTTGACAGGGGCAAGGTCGGCGTGGCCAAAATCTCGGAGCCCTGGAAGGACAACAGCGCAGCATGCTCTGGGCGTTGCTGTGCCGGCCGTGAGACCTGAGTCGTGCTCCTCGCCCCCGTTGGAGCGTCCGCGACAGACGGCCAATCCCTGAGGCAGTAGGTAGGTCTCGCTCTGGCGGCGGAGTCGCTGACAGCCGAGCGGGCGCGTAAACCTCCAACGTGCGCAGTCTGATTTTCGATGCGGGGGTGGGCTCAGGCGGTCGGGGGTAGCTCCAAGGTGGGTGGAAGTACGTCCAGCGTGGGCGGCTCGATTCCCACTGCAATGCCAGGTGGCAGCGCTGCTCGCCCCGTTCGTTCCGGCGGCGCGCGCGCTGGCGGCCTGCGGTCGGCATGGGGGTTGGCAGCAGCGGAGAAGGTCTCCGTCGAGGTCCCGCGGAAGCAGGCTGCGCTCCATGCTTTGCAGGGGCGCGCGCTGGTCCCCCAGCCCCGGCTCGAAAGCGGCGCTCGGTTGCACCCGCGCAGCGCGCGTCCCAGTTCGCGGAGCTGGCGTTGTGCTCGCGCCGCGGGCATCGCAGCGCCCGGTTGCCCCCCCCCGCGGGTCGTCGCCAGTCAGCGGACCCCCCTGCCCTTTGCCAGGCGGCCCGCCCCTCGGGCAGGCAGTGGAGGCGTCTTGCTGGCAGGGGCAGGTGGCGAGAGCCCCCGTCGGCGCCGCGAGCGTCGGCGGCGTGGAGAGCGGCGGCAACGGCGGGCGGCGATTTTCAAAGGCGCTTCCAAACAAAAGCGCCGAGGAGATGTCGCGGGAGTGCCCGCTTCCCTGCCGGGCAGCGCCGCGCGGGGAGCAGCGGCGACGGCGGGCGGCGCTGCCCGCGGGCATTGCCAGGGGAGGGCGTCGCGGAGACGTCGAGGAAGCGGCCCATCCCCTGCCGGGCAGCGCCGACGAAGAAGCCACCCCCTTTCCGCGCCGCCAGGAGCCCGAGGCGCTCGGGGGCAGGCGGCGAAGGCGCCGCGCCGGCAGGTGAGAGCAGCTCAATGCTTCCCAACCAATCGGGACCGAACCCACCGCGCCATTCGAGGGCGTCGAGGGCCGTGGCCCGCGGTGGGCCCTGGACGGGCACACTTTGAGCCCTTTGTTGGGCATTGGCAGAAAGCGAGATGAACCAACGCATGCCAACTCGTCCGCACGCGCCGTCGATGTTTGTAGCGCGCGCGAGCTCGGCAGCTCTCACTGCTGCCGCTGCTAGCCAGGGAATTGCGCGTCCGCTCTCGCCTTCCAGAGCCAGGCCCCGTTCCGAACCAACACCGCTGTCCAGAAACACTTAGTGCGAGGCGCCTTTGGAGGCCTCGCGATGGCTCGTCGCGGATTGGAGGCTCCTTCTAGCGAGTGGCGGTGCCAGCATCGTGTGCGCGCGCGTTGGCAGGTGATCCCGCTATCTGATTGGCGCGGTTTGTACGATTGTGATGTTTGCTTCGTGCGTGTGCTGTGCCCGGTGCGGCACGCTGCGCCTCGCGTGCTTGGCCTGCCGCTGGCTTGCCCGGCGCGCGCGCGGCGCGCGCGCGTTGGTCGAGGGCGGCTCTCGATTTGTTGCGTGTCCTCGCTTGCGCTTTTCGCTTCATCCCTTCTGTTTGTCTCTCCTCTCCTCTTCTCCTCTTCTCCCCCTCCTCTTCCCGCTCTTTTTTCTTTCCGCTTCGTTTCCTCATCTTCCATCCCCTTTCATATTGCGTGGCATGTCTTCGTTTTGCGGCCGCGCCACGGCAATTTCAGCGCGCCCTTCGCGCCGCGCGCTGATCGTCATCCCCGAGCGATATGTTGTTGAAAGTCCCTGTGGTGCGCACCGCGCGCCAGTGCCGCGACCAGTCTAGCGCGCCCATCGCGCGGTTCGCGGTCCCATGTGCAACCCTGCCGACGCGATGTGGTCGCGCGCCGCCTCCCCGACCGCTCTTGATCAACGTTCGCAGGTTTCGCGGCCCCACAAGGAGCTCGACCGAAATCCCGCAGAGCACAAGCCGCACGCCGCGGCCCAGATTATTTGAGGCCGCCCATCTCGCGGTTCGCGGCTCCATATTCTTGGAATGCCATCGACGACCCCCGCGGCGCAGGCCGGGCGCCGCGCCCGGGTCATTTCGTTTCACCCGCCACGCCATTCGTGTCCCCATATGGAACACCACCTGATGCGTTGTGGCATAGGCCGCTGGCCACCGCCAAGACCATGTCAGCTCATTCAGAGCACGATTCGCGCACCCCCGGGGAGGAGATCTACATTTTTTTCCGCGCCGGACGCGTGCCACCGCGCAGACCGTTGCAACAGGCCCATCGAACGGTTCGCGGCCCCATACGCAGCCCCCCAAGGGTTTTGTCGCACAGGGCGCATGTTGCCGCCCAGACTATTTCAGATCGCTTGTCATGTGTTTCGTGGCGCCATGGAGAGGGTTCCACCGAAGACGCTTGCGACGCAGGCCGCGCGCCGCCGCCCAGACCACTTTAGCTGTCCTCACGCGATCTGCGGCCGCATTCGGAAACTCCACTGGAACGTTTTCAGGCACAAGCCGCGCGCCGCCGCCCAGACCATTGAGCGCGCGCCCCATCGCACTTCGTGGCCCCATATGGAACCCCGCCGAAAGCATTTGCGGCGCGTGCCGCATTGCGCCGTCCAGACCATCTCAGCAACATTGCTCACGTGTTCAGTAGCCAAATTTGGAGCGCAGGCCGCATGCCGCCGCCCCCAGCCAATTCAGCGTTGCCTCTCGCGGTCCGTGGGCTCATGCGGAGCTCCACCGAAGAATGTTGTGGCGCAGGCGGCTCGCCGCCGCCCATGCCACTTCGTCGCAGTCTTCGCGCGGTCGGTGGTTTCGTGGGGGGCTCCACCGAAGGCCCTTGTGGTAAATTTCGCATGCGGACTCGCGTGTGTCGGGCGGTATTATTTATTTTTCGCATTGCGTTCAGACATGGTTGGCTTTTCGCAGAGTTCATTTTGTTTTGGAGGGGCAAGAGGAAAATGCGGGCACATGGGCCAGCACGATGGGCAGGAGCGACGACCAAGGTCATTATTGAAGGATGATGCGGGCGAGGGGCGCCTCCGATGATTGGCGCTCAGACTGCGCTGTTTCCAGCCTTTGAGCGAGCAGTATCTCCCAGTTACATTCTAGTCTGGCGAGGCTCGGAACTGACACTCTGGGCGGACGGCGCTGGGGGAAGGATCAACGAGGGAGGCTTAGGAGCAGAAATTAGGGGGGGAGGGGCAGAGACGGGGGCGGCGGGCAGGGTTGGGGGCGGGGGCCAGAGGGCCTGCGGGGGAGCCCATTGGAGGCTCCGCGAGGGCCCCCATGGGCCCGCGGCGGGTCCGGACTCCCCCCCCGCGGTGGGCCCGGACTCCCCTCGGCATCGTTTTTTGACACGTCTGAGAAGACTGCCGAGGGGAGTCCGAACCCACCGCGGCCTCCATGGGCGCTCCCGCGGCGGTGGGTCCGGACTCCCCTCGGCAGTGGTTGTGGACATGTCTGGGGGGCCTGGCACGGGCTCGGCAGGGCCCCCTGGGGCCTTCGATTCTGTTGCGACTGGGGATCCAAAGCGCTGTTTGGGTCCCAGAGTTGTCGTGTCGTTCGGGGTGTGGGCGGGAGAGTATGTTGCCTCCAGATTACGCCACACTGGGTGCGCGAGAATGAGCTTGTGGAGCCTGAGCGGGCCTGCAGTGGGCCGTCCTGGAGCTGTTTTGAAGACTTGTAGCAGTGCCATGTTAGGATTTCGTGTTTTTCCTTTCGGTGGGCATCTTGGCGACTTGGCGACTCTCTGGCGCCCAATGGGGATCCATGGGCCGTTTTGGAAGCCCTGGGATTGCATTGCAGCGGACTCCGTTGGCTTTCGCGCCGTCGTTCGCACGCCGTGGGAGCGACGCGGAGGCATTTTAACCAATCGAAGAGTAATGTGAAGGAGCTTTTAGAGGCCGTAGTTTTTTCTTAATCCTCCTGTCCGTTGGGTCTTCGTTGGGGGCCCGGAGCGCTGAGCGCCTCATCACTTGCCTTCCCCCTCCTCTACCGCCGCCTCTTCCTCCAGACCGCTTCAGTCCGTCATCATCTATCCTCTTTTCTCCTGCGTGGCCGGTCTTCGCTAGGAGTCTCCGCCAATGCAGTCTCCGCGCACCTCTCGAACGATTCGTGGCCCCATAGGGCCTCGCCGAAGGCCCCTGTAGCAAGGGCCGCTCCCTTCTGCCCGATGCCAATTGGCGTTGCGCCGAAAATTCTCGTAGCAAAGGATGCGCACCGCCCGTCCAGACCACGTCAGCGCGCCCCTCGCTCGATTCGCGGCCCCATAGGATAGCATTCCGGAGGCCTTTGCAGCGCAGGCCACTTGCCAGCGCCCAGACAATTCCAGCTCCCCCCTCGCGAAGTTCGCGGCCCCATTGGGAGTTCCACCGAAGGTCTTTGTAGCGCAGGCCGCCCGTCGCCGCCCAGCCCACCCGAGTTCTTTATTCACGCGGCTCGTGGCCCCGAAGGGGGCCCCGCCGAAGCTCCTGGTAGCGCGGGCCGCATGCCGCCGCCCAGACCGCTTAAGGTTTTCATTCGCCCCGTTCGTGGCGCCATAGGAAGTTCGGCCGCCGACCAGCAGACATGTTCAACGCCATTATTGCGCGCGCCGCGGCCTCGCGGAGGTTTACACCGAAGGCGTGTGTTGCGCGCGCCGCGCGTCGCCGCCGATAGCATTGCGGCGCACTCTCACGCGGCTCGTGGCCGCACAGGATGCAACGCCGACGGCTTCTGTCGCGCTGGCTGCTTGCCGCCGCCCAATCCAATCCAGCACTTCCCCCTCGCGCAGTTCGGTGCCCCATAGGGAGCTCGGCCGAAGTTCTTTGTCCCGGTGCAGGCCGCATGCCGCTGGCCAGATTATTTCAGTTTATAGTTCTTGCAGTTCGGGGTCCCATGCGGCGCCCCGCCGAAGGCTTTTGCGGCGCAGGCCGCTTGGCGCTATTTGG